GACATCACCATCTTGGGCCTCATCACCAACAACAAGGAGAGTGCCTACAGAGATGAGGTGAAATCACTGACCAGCTGGTGTCAAAAATAACGTCTCTCTTAATGTCAGCAAAACAAAGGAGATGATAGTGGGCTTCAGGAAACAGCGTGGAGGCCAGCACTCCACCATCAACATAAACAACGCTGAGATGAAGCAGGTCAGCAGCCTCAAGTTCCTCAACGTTCACATTACCGAGGATTTGTCCTGGACTTTACATGCAGACACTGTGGTCAAGAAAGACCGACAAAGACTCTACTTCCTAAGAAGACTGAAGAAGTTTGTTACAAACACCAGCATCCTCACCAACTTTTCTTGGTGCACCATGAAGAGCCTGCTGACAGGCTGCATCACAGGGTGGTACGGGAACTGCACCAGTCAGAAAGTACTACAGAGGGTGGTGCAAACAGCAGAGGACATCACTGGTAGCAGTCTCCACACCTTCCAGGACATCTACCACAGCTGATGTCTGCGTAAAGCATGCAGCATCATTAAGGACCACACCCACCCAGCACAAGGACTCTTCCTACTACCCTCAGGCAGACGATACAGGAGTCTGTCGTCGCATACAAAAAGACTAAAGGACAACTATTATCCACAAGCTGTCAGATTATTAAACTCTTGATAAATAACTCTGAACAACTGGCAATAACACTGCACCAAGCCACATCTGTGACAACTAATATTAGCTTGTGACAGCTGCTGCACTATGTGGCTGGATCATGTATGTACCTTACCATCTCTGTGTCACTCACCTGTGCAACAACCTGTCACACAACCTGTGTAGTTTATGTTAATGTGCAATATATAGCATGTGCATTTTAGCTTATATTACTACCCTGAAATATTTATTTGTACAAATTCATCCTACTTCATCGTTAAAAACTCTATCATGTATGTTTACCATTTTCTCTTTAGGACCTAGTAAATATAATGACTATAATTTTTTGGTAATTATTTTGTACACTTAATATGCTTAAGTATTTCCTATTTGTTTGTTTTTAGCTAGTCAAATCAATTATTATCCTTGACCTTTCACTGTACTGTTAAACTTGTATTAACCTTTCATATGACAAATAAACACAACTTGAACTTGAACAGGCCTAGTCAAATATTGTCCAAACTGTGAAAAGTTCACCATTTTAACAAAACGCAACAACTTATCCAAGTTTTCAAAATATGCCTTGATATAAAACAAAAAACTACAAGGTCACAAAACATTCGTTTTCTAAATTAAGCCACAAAAAGCCATAATGTTAAAGGCAAACACCTTTCAACTACTTCCAGCTAGGTTTTTTTTTTTCTGGAAAAAGACATTAAAACTCAAAGCAGTAAATTAAAAAAATTACTAATCGTAGGCAACGTTATTAGAAAAATACAACTTAAATCAGCGAAAACCATCAAAAACAGCCGTCCTACCTTACTGTTCCGTTCCATTTTAGGCCTCGTTCATGTAAAAGCCAGCCGACAATATTTCCAGGGAACTAGAAAGACTTTTATTTTAACTTTTCTGTAATAAAATCGGTCTCTTTGTGTTTAATGACGCAGCATTACAAACAAACCTCGCAGGTGTTTCCCACCGCGGTGATTGTGAAACAAAATGGCGGCGGGTTAGCTACCTAGCTGCCTGTTAGCCTGCTGTTGCTACCTTTAAATTATTTAATGCAATTTACTTCTAAATGTTTATGGATTTATAACATACTGTTTTGTAATTTAGAAAGAATTACTTTATGTGTAGTAGGCAGCAGATGTAAACATGAGAATAAAAAATAATTATAAAAGCTTTAAATTTACATGATGGACACTAGCTATTGCCTAATCAGACCATCTCACTGGAGTTTATTTATTTATTTATTTATTTATTTATTTATGGCATGGATAAAAAGGTAGTAAGTGCCTAAATGAAATGGGAATATAAGATAGGGGGAAAAAAACTGAGACACTAGTTTTCATTA